AAGATTAGCAAAATATTTATTCTAAGTAACTTTAAATACAATATCTTTGAAAAAAAATCTAACTTTCTTTCCATGTGTTATCAGAGACTATAGCCACAGTTTTAAATGACTTTGCCTCATTAGCTAAATGGAACAAGAAGTAAAGGTCAGGACCATCTGAAACTTTTTGTACCAGACCCTTCTTTTCCATCTCTACATTGGCATTTCTTAGGCTGATTCAAAGCCTGTATCTGACCACTCTATGGACAAGGTTTTTGGCAGTGCTGTGGAGGAAGACTGGTGCTAGGCAGTGCTTTGTCCTCTTGTGCTCCAAATAAAAGTGTTTTAGATCAATGACATAAAATCTTAAGACATTTCGCAATAGATTTTTTTTAACAGAAACACTACCTGTGCTCCTTGGCTTTCGAGTAATACGCTGCAAGAGAAAAAAAAAGTCACAATAATCAAAGAATAGCAAAATAATGTTATCCATCGTATTTATTACCTTTGCTATAGCCCACCACTACAAATCCATTACATTTTCTCAGGTTTCCCCTGGCCTAACCAGAAAAGCCACAAGTATCTCGTAAAACTTCCCTGATCATTCACTTTTTCCATTCCCGTTGCTGCTAAAGTCACTGCAAGAACATACCTGCACCCACAGAAGAGGCTAAGACACAGAATTTCCCTCACAGTCTTTTATGGATTTGGTTGGGAAACCTGGGCGCCAATGATTAGGGGACTGTGCACAAGGCATTACCAGGAGTGGAAAGGGAACCCTAAATACAGCCTCTTCTTGGTCTCCGTTAATCCACTCATGCTGCCTCAGACTGAATTGCATTCCTCATCATGCCCTCACTCTGAGTGGGGATCAGAACAGCTTCTGTGTTACTGCCAAGGCACGCCATAGAGGCCATGGGTTTACCTGACACACTGACCGGTGAGACTGCAAAGATTCTTTAATTAATCTGGCATTATTTCACAGGGGAAAAAATACAGAAACCAAAGATGAAACCAGAAACCCCTGCTGAATCATAGAGCTGACTGGCTGAACAAAGATCAATTGATTCAATGCATTAACTGCACGGAATACATTCTGATGAGTTCCGAAACTACACATTCCAAACAGACTGCAATTGAAAGAAAAAATTTCTCCAGGTTTACAAGTGGTGCTAACCACTGATAAATAGTCATCTATTTTAGCCAGATGCATCAGAAACATCTTCAACTATACTACAACTCTATTGTAAAGCAAATGATGACCTCCTCAATACCTCTGAAAATATTCTATAGTATGGCAAGGTTAGAATATAATCCTGTCTATCTATCTCTTTATCCATCCATCCACAAAGAAATATTGCTGCATTTTGGCTGCATGGTAGAACTGTACTATTAAATACCGTAAATCCTTTCTTCCCAGCTTTAACGTCTTTCCTTGACATGGGGTCCCATCGTTTAGGTCCTAGAAAAAAACAAAAAGTAAAAATATTACCACTTATCATAATACCATCTATACTGATTATCACTCTAACAAACATTTACGAACGACATATTACAGAATAACAAAACATTAGCAAATCTGAACTGTCTACCACCACATTTGTTGAAATAGAAATTTAAAGGAAAACAAACCTTTTGGAGAATATGGCAATTCAAGCTGAGAAGTCAGGCAAGACAAAAAAGAGCATCACATGCTGAGTCTAACAAGACTGAGCTAAAATCCAAAGAGCCCCATATTCAAGCAAGAGGAGAAAAGAGACAAAAGATTTTAGGTTCTAGATTTTAGTCGATGAATGCAGACTCCATGGGATCTGAGGTTAGTTAAAGCCATAACTAAGGCTCTACGGGACCGAGATCCATACTCCTTCCATTTTGAACAGAGATCACTAACCCAAAAGCACAACCAATCCTTTACCAATGCAAAGCTGTCTATTACTGTACTCTTGAATGCTTCCTCCCTCTCCCATTGGATAATGTGTATGAAATGCAAGCCCGCCAGTCTGTAAAAACCTTTGGTGCACAACTGGGAGTTCCCCGGTCTCTCCAGGAAGTTGTAAAAACTGAGACGGCAATTCATGAACGTGGTAGTTCTTATAGGGCTTCACTTTAGGTGAAGAGGAAGAAGGCCAGTCACGGAAGTGGTTTTCTGGGAAGAGCTGCTGAAAGCTTCTCCTGGGCCTGGCAAAACTCATTGCTGGCTGGCTCTGAGACGAGGCATGCTGCTAAGGCAATTAGAGAAGCTGGTAACGCCTCTATGGCAATGTATTTAAGCAGCAGAAACACTGCGAGAAGCTCTCTATCTCTGCGCTCTCCGAGGAGTGGCGCCGCTCCCTTTCCTTTCCTGGTGGAGCCTGCAGGGCCGCGCTGCGGGCCCGTCCGGCACGGCGAGGAACCACGCGGCCGACACCAGCGCCGGGAGCGGCCACGTGGCCGGGAACGCGCGGCAGGCATTGGCAACCAGGGCGCTGCTGTCTTGGCAGGGCTCACAAGGAACTCGGTTCCCCTGGCCGCTCCTGGGCAGCCGTGCTGCAGACAGAGGCGCCAGGGCGGCGGCGGCTTTTCCTTCGCGGCGCCCACGTGAAGAGAAGGCGCGAAATGGAGCCCGCGGGGACCTCGCCCTCACAGCGAGCAATTCTCTCGCACAGAGCACGGACGGGATCCGCCTTTCAACATTGCAGAACTCTGCAAAATCTTCTTGACCGATAGCACTTGAGAACAGACGAACCTACAAACACCAACTCTCTCCCAAATCCAAAAAAAAAGGAAGGGTGAAGACATCTGGGGAACACAACAGTGACACTAAAGCCGGTGCAAAGGAGGGATGGGGACAAGGAGAGACCCAGGCCTCAGAGCTGAAATTCTTCTACAAGCTGTGCTGAAGATTAGAATCCTACAAATTATTTCCCTGTAATTAATGAAGTAGCTAGAAGGATGGAGAATGCTCCCGAATCCCATGAAAAAGAAGCGCTCAGGCTAGAATGTGGACATGCTGAGAAGCTGTGATCTGTGAGAGGCCTGAGCAGAGAGAGAGAGGGAGAACACCCCTTGCTTTCAGAGACAGAGGAAGAGGACACTTGCTTTTATACTACAACAGCTCATCCTTAAAAATTGCAGCCCATGAACTAATGGCCCAGGGGCAAAAGGCAGTTGTGAGAAGACCACTCTGCCCATTGACACATGTCAAAGCAGGTTTCAGGTGTGACTGCAACCTGTAAAAATTCAAACCACATTAAAAAGTTCACAGAAAATTCCCTCCCATAGAAAGGACCCCATGGCATAGCAAGAGACTCCTCTCCCTAAGTGAACTGAAACAGAAGTTTTACAAGCCACACTCACCAAAACCCCCATGCTTTTGTCTTCCTATGCTCTCAGTGAGAAATAAAAAAAGGCAGGGGATGGTGGGGGGGGGGGGGTAGGTAAAAGTATTCTAAAGGTTTTAATTCTCATTATCATCTTTTTGATTGTGTAAATAAAATTTCCTTCATACCTTTTAAAGTGTTTTTCTCCAATTCCTTATCTCACCCCACAAGCTTTTTAATTCTTCTTTCCTCCTCCTATGCTCAACCATAGCAGAGCAGAAAGAGTGATTTTCTTTGGTAGATGCACTGGCTTTTAGCCAGCACCAAGCCCTGACGTATCATAATCTTCATTTCAGTGATAATAAAACCTGCCAGAAACATTTAATTTCCCAGAAAAGCCACCAAGATACTAAGTCACAAGTCCCACTCAAACCCATATTTATATAGAATCTATTTTAAAACAATAGCATGTTTCCCCTCAATAAGCTTCCCATAAGCATTATTACCCTATTACCCATCAACCATCACAATGAAAAACTGGATAAATATTGTCATGGGCCCACATGGTTTGGATTCATGCTAGCCACATGGGAGCATTCAATGAAAAGTTAAGTAAACTGTCTACCTACTACACCCTGGTGCTTGGCATAGCAGTAATTAATCAGAGCAGTATTCAGAATACTAAGTGGACACGAAAAGACACAATCCATTCAAGCCCACCAATCCCTTTGCTTCCTCTCAGTCTTCTCCATTTTGATTCTACCTACAAGTCACCAATACATTATCCATTTTTTTAACCTGAACCTTGCTAATAACCATTGTCTTGTCTAACATTGGGCATGCAATAAACTAAAAGTGCACAAGGAGTAAACACTTGGTATTATACTGAACTCTACATATGAAACAACACACCTTTGTGAAGCTTAGTCAAATACAGTATCCGTCGCACTTAAATATTCTGCAGCTGCCAACACTTGCATGGCTTAGTCAGTCTGCACATACAGTATGCAAACATTGCAGCTTTAAGGAGTTCTTACTGTCAGGTGTATGGTAGGAGGAGGAGGAGAAGAAGCTCATAATCGTTTCATTGGATGCTGCTATGAAAATGCCAGAGTCTGAAGCACTTCACTCATTTATCCCACGAGTCCAAAAGGCAAAGGAACTTACAGAAGCCAAGCTACAGGTGCCTCTGAAATCTTTTTCTAGCTATCATTGAGCAGGCCGAGAAAAATGCTGTGCTTTCTAAATTGGCAGACATTATTTCATCATTCAAATGCTTATTTACAGCCATCCTCACAAATCAAAGTAGGAAACATTTCCATCAACAGAAAAAAAACTGCCAGCCTTAGAGGCAGCTAAGTAGATGAGCAAGCTAATTGAATACCAGAATATATAAACCCCAAGCTAATCATATACTTTACTACAGCTCCTTTTTCAGCCATTAATGCTGGGTACTTCCAAGCTATAGCTTAGACCAAGAAAAACACAGCAAGTTTTCATTTGCTCATGAATCAAAAATGTTGAATGTTGAATACCAGCAGAAAATATTACAAAAAGCCAGTCAGACAAATCCTTGGCCAGTAATTAAAGCAACCAACTAATTCTATGGAAATACAAAGGCAAAACCTCCCCAAAAATGAAACACTTTTCCTAAACAATATTAATGAATCCAAATTTTTTAAAGAAATACATGTGACCAACAGACAAAAGACTTAATTGTACCAAGTAGCTCTCGCCCTGGCAAAGTTGAATGACGACTTTTTGACGAACTTGGAGTTGTTATCTGAAAAACATCAAAAGAAAAAAACAATCTAACATTCTGAGCTTTTTGCATGTTAAACATATCATCAAAACCTTACTTGTGACTTCCTTGCCTCTTGCTGTTCTGGGTCATGTACAGTTATGGCCTTTTAAAGGCTCAGCCAAGTTCAGACAAAATGGAAAACATCTAGTCTAAGGCTTCAGTAGGAAGTTTTAGGAGTTACTAGTTTATTCTTGGAAAGCTATTCATCATTTTTTCAACTTATACATTACATGTCATGTACTAATCCCTACCCCAAATATAAGAATTTATCCATGCATATATATCTACACACACACACACGTGAGTAATCTACACATCTCTGGCAGCTCCAGCAGAAAAGAGAAGCTCTATTCTGACACTTCACCTCTGACCTTCCTCACTCCCCAAATCAAAACAAAGCTAATTCTTTTTCTTTGAGCCTCTACAAAGCTCAGATTCACACTTTTAAGAAAACTGACAGCTCAAAGATCAACCTGCACATCAGGGCTCCAAGAATAATATATAAAAGTAAAAAAAAAAAGGGAAAATACATTTCTAAAACATTTACTCTGTTTCTTACATTTCATAGCTCTCAAACCCCCAGATCCTACAATATCTACAAAGACATCAAGCAGAAGAACAATGGGAGAAGCACAGAGAAGTTGTGTCAGAATGCATTTAACTGCTGCCCAGTTAAAGAGCTTTTATTTCATCCTAACTAGCTAATAACTTAGAATAGGAGAAATATCATACCGTTATCCATTTGGGAATATTTCTCTCATCACCTTGTATTATCACATCCGTGGGAACTCTTTTTTTCTTCAGTATTTGTCCATCATCTACATTCAGATTCTTAGAGGAAAACAAAATTATTAAAACAACATAGAACTTATTGGCACAGGCAACTACAAACTGATTATTCTGATTTACTGCAAACTAGTGTTCTTCAGATCAGAATATATGCAACCTGCATAAAGTTATTTCTAATGTACACATTTTAAGCAAAAAACTGCCTCCCCACGTGCCCCCCAGCAAAAAAAAAAAAAACCCTATAATTGCATAGAAGGAACTATCTGTGAAGATATATGAAAAGGGATAATAAACAAGAATATTCAGGGAACAGCAAACTCTGCCTTAAAGAGCCTCTGATAAAGCCAACAAAAATCCCAAACAAATAAAGAAAGGAGAAAGAAATAAAGAAAAATGGTTACAATGCTCTGACAATGACACCTGCAAATCTCTACTTGTATTCCCAACATCCTGTGGGAAGCCATATACAAATTAAGGTCTCTTCTGCAACAACCCTCATTGTAGAACCTCAGGGAATTTTGTAATAAAAGGCAATTCATTAGTCAAACTGTCACTTTCTGAAGCAGATTCAATTAGCTGTTGTCAGAGAGTGGACACCAGCACAGTGCTAGACAAGTGAGGAAAGTAAATCCCATTTTTGGCACCGCTGTTGGAGCAAGCAAACCACAGGATTAAAATGGCTGCACAAACACACAGTGCATGTTGTATTTTTCCTCAACACTGTAAATAGTCTGGCTAGCCCTGACCATAATCTAGTTTGGGAAGCAACAGCAGAAGATTCCAGCCTGCTTTTGTTATGACAGCCATTATTGCTCATTTACCATGTCCTTCAAACCATGTTACCTACCTATGCTAGACCCCCTGGTGAACGACCATTCTTTTTATAAGCATTTTCACCTTAAGATCCATCTGGTGTCTCTTTTTCCTTAGCTAGAAAAGCCTTTCTCAGGGCTGCCTGCTGATGCAGTACACTGTAGGCCTTTCTCTGGCCCACTGGTATTAGCAAGACAATAACATCACTTGTCATTGGTCTCTGTGACACTAATTATTGAACACCTCACCTGCCAAAAATGTGCATTAAAATGCAGATGATATCAAGTCTTCTGCTGACTGCATCAGCTCATCAGGCAGGTGTAAACATCTCAAATAGTTAACAGCTTCTATTGGATCACTACATTCTATTAGACACCCCAAAGTTTTACCTTGAGACGAATTCCTTCAAATTTTCTTCCTACGGAGGCTACATCACCACCTTCTTCACCTGCAATTTGAAAGTAAATATTAAATCAAACATAGCTGAACTCAAAACAGAAATGTTTTTAAACACACACTGTGCAAGTTATTGGCTAAACTGTTTTCATAATAGAAAACAGTTTTCTGCCCTATAACTTTAAACTGTATTGCATTTCCATTCCAATTCCAATTGGAAAGCATGGTTTGTGGCTCCATAAATGACTGCAGCAGAGCAAAGGAGGCTTAAGAAAACTTGTTTGCCATCAGTTCATGACAATTTATATTAAATATTTCAGGGAGTGAAACATTTTTAAAGCTCTTTCTTTTGTGGCTCTCTAAGATTCATTAATCATTAGTGAACCATCCCCACTACATTCCTAAATATGCCAACAGGATTTTCTCTCACGCTTCCTCTTCGTAGCTTCCTGTTGCCAAGACTACCTCAGGACTCACAAAGTGAGAAATAAGACTTGAGAATATGAAAAAGCAAGACAGACACTGGTCACTCAGTTCTAGGTACTCTATTCTGTGGGTCGTTTGGTGAATGAAATGCAACAAAGTATTGTTTTCCTCGATGTAGGCAGACCTTCCAATTCATTATTAGCTAAAATCAGTCGTCCATGAGAATCAAATATATGACTGCATTTTCAGCCCTGCTTTCTGAACTGCCCTGCACTCACCAGAGGGAAGGAGAAAGGAGAGGGGAATAACCCTGGGAATCGTGAGTGAAAGAAATCTTGGTTACGGTACTACCACATCACTGCCTCGTCATACTACTCTTAAATTGCTATTTCTCTTTCTGCCATACAATCTTCTTCCTCCAGCACAACTGGGCACAAACCTGTCAGATTGCTTCCTACACGTTCATCCACATGAACAGACTGGACTGCTACAGAAATGGGCGCTTCCTGAGATAAAGGGAACAACTCCTGTGTCACGGAATGGTTGACCCCATCACATCAATTATAAATTATTAACAAATAGCTTGCATCAGAGCATGAGCTGATTTGTATACAAGTGGAAAATTCTTCTACGTGTGAGTCCTCCAAAATCTAATTTTAGCATATCTTCAATGTGCTGGCAATCATACTTTCAAATCACTGGATCTTCAGTAATTAGCAGTGGGCCTGGGCACAGAATGGAAAACTAAAAGTATTCTCTCCAGGGAATCCAAAAGTGGTCTTCAAGGCCAAAAGGGAAATTCAGCAACACCTTTGCACCTCAAAGGCAGAACAGAGAGGAAGAAAGACAACTTCCACCTTCCTCTCTCAAAACTATGACCTTTGTTAAAGAAAGCTATTTCACAGGAGGTGCATCCAAAACACTATCATTCTCTAACTTATAACTTCTCTATCCCTTTCTCCAAATTAATTCAGTCCTCTGTGGTAGCATCCTGCTGAATATAAGCAGTTGTAAGATTTACTCTGCCAAGCTACTTCCTGAGAAAGCAAGAAATGGTAATCCTAATAACTTTCCCTATTAAGGACAGACTTGCAGGCCCAGGTGAGAGCTGCTCCACTTGACTTTTACCTGCTGTAGACAAGCTTTGCACACTCTCAACACAAAAATAGTATTTAGTACCTGGAAGAAACTCTGCCTTCCATGACTAGTGTGAAGTATTCTATATGAATACTAAAAATGGAGAACACCTGCCAAAACTAAAACTTTAGTTAAGACAGCTAAGGACCCATTTCTTCCCTTAAGTTAGTGTGCCCTACTGATAAGCTTTTATGTATCAAAAAGCCACCAAAACCAAACCAAGAAAAAAAGGCCCTGAAAACACCCACCCAACTACCAACAGCCAAAACACCACAGTGCACTCAGTTTTTCATGGGAAGAATCAAGAGTCTACATCTTACAGGATTTAGAGATAGCTGGAACTCACAGAGGTTTCTAAAAATCCTCACCACATGCTTCGCAGACCATTCGTAAGAGGAGGAGAAGCTCATAATCATTTATTGGATGCTGCTATGAAAATACCAGAGTCTGAAGCACTCCACACATTTATCCCACAAGAGCAAAAGGCAAGGGAACTTACAGAAGCCAAGCTACAGGGGTCTCTGAAATCTTTTTCCCAGCTTTCATTGTGCAGGCTGAGAAAAATGGCCTGCTTTCTAAATTGGCTGAAATTACTTCATCATTCAAATGCTTATTTGAAGCTATCCTCACAAATGACAGTAGGAAACATTTCCCTCAACAAGGAAGAAATGCCCAGCCTCAGAGGCAGCTATGTGGATGAACAAGCTAATTGAATACCAGCATAGGGAAACCCCAAGCTAACCATACTCTAGTACAACTTCCCTTTCAGCCACTAACTGCTGGCTACTGCCCAGCCATAGCCGCATCTATGAAAAACACTGCATGTTTTCATTTGCTCAAGAATCAAACTGTTGAATAATACCAGGCATAAATATTTTTAAAAAGTCAAAGGCAGCTCCCACTAATAAATGCAATCAAATAATTATTTGGGAGTACAAGGTCAAAACCTCACTCTCTTCCATTCTCTCAACAAAGTTCAATAAAGGGTAGATAAGCAGTACATGAAAAAACCCACCTGTATCAGATGTATCTGCACCAGAGCTCTCAGAAGATTCCTTAAAAGCACATGAAAGGAATTTTAATACCTGGTAGCTTAAACTATATTTCATTAGCCCATAGAATTTCCGGCTTTCACTACTTGCTCAGTTTTTGGGGGGTTGTGGGAATGAAACAAATGCAGGTGTATTCCACAAATTGTGACCAAATCACACCATCTTTATTAACAAGTCTATACACAAACTTACGTTGAGTCAAAAGAAGCTATTCCAGACCACACAGATTGTACAAATAGTCATTTAAAAAGTTAGACCCACATATTGCCTAACTAAAAAGGCACTTGATGGTGAAGAGCCCAGATCCAACTGCTCGCTCTCCTCCTTCAAAAAAACCCTAATAAAACAGCTGAAAACCAGTACAGATATTGTGGCACAGGACCACCAGCTCATAAATGATTTCTTAGCTTTTGACTCCACAAATACATTTTCCCAAAGAGGCCAACATAGGACAGTTGGGGTTGGAAGGGACCTTAAAAATCATCTAGAACCAACCCCCTCTGTGATGGCCAGATTGCTCAAAGGCTCACCCAGCCTGGCCTGCAACACTCCATCAAAAGAGATGCAATGCAGCACCCATACCTGGTGTGCTGGTGAGTTCTCATCTTCAAGATCATGGCTCTGCTTCTCTGATATTTCGTAGCATGAATGGGAGAGGAAAATAAAAACTCTATTACTTTCATAATACTCAGCCTCTCTTCCGATTTCTGTTTTCAATTTCTTTTATTTTTCCCTCTATTTACAGCCTATCACCAGTGGCTCTAGCAATGGGTTTCTTTTTCTAAATCCCTCTGGCCAATCACACTATAATGAAACACAAACCAAAGTACTCCAGCACACTTTTTGTCATTGTTGAACAGTGCAGAAAACCTGTTTTGTTTGCTTCGTGGTCAAGGCACTTGTGCATATCTTCTGGCATGGTTGTGTGCTACCTTTACAGCAGACTGCAATGTCCTTGGTTGGCTCAAGCAACTTTCAAAATTGTCTCTTCAGCATTTGATTATTGCAAAGTAAGTCTATTACTCTGAACTTCTTTGCATGAAATTGAAGACATTTCAGTTGTAGCCCTGATTTGTCAGACACTTTTCTCAGTGGTCAATCCCACCTGCTATCACGTAAGCGTTAATTAATTCCTTCTTCTGTTAATTAATTAAATATACAACCAATAAAGTGCACAGGACAAGTCCTGTAATAAACCCGCCATGTTTCTCCCAAGTTTGGATGCAGACCACTGATAATTATTCAAAGCACAATTTTCCAACCAGTGGCTATAAAACCACTCTCTCATCAAATTCAACAAGCATGTAACTGGAAGGCTCTGGCTTAAGGTTGTAACCTTCTCTGGAAATTAATCTTCATGATTTTGGAAAACACTACTGTAACACCTCCTTAACAACATATTCTTTTAGAAGCCAGAGTGCCTCTTCCAAACATATCTGGATTGGGAACAGATGGCATTAAAAGAACAAAGGAGTGTCCAGTTGAAATCCCTTACTGAGCAAGGTCTATGAAGCACCACAAAGCCCATTTCGTACCCAAAAACTCTCAAGGAAAAAAAGGCAATTTATGCGGCTGATATATGACCAAAATATCACTTCTCTGGGAGGCTGAAATTTATCCTACCTGCTCTTCCTTAACTGAGAGCTGCCATATGTGAAAAAAAAAAATAGTCCACCACTCAAAGGACTGTCACATTTGAATCAGGACAACTTTAAGAGGATGCTGGACAAGCCACCCAAATAGGAAAACTTAAATCTAGCAAAATGCAGAATTGTGAGTTGGAAAAAAAACAACACTAGGTATATTCTAAGGCGAGGGGTCCATTGATAGGTATTTGTTTAATGTTCAGGCTTAACAGCAAAACCTTTATGTATCCTAATTTAAAACACTTAGGTCTACTTAAGAGTAAGTGAGTAAATAAAATCTGTACATTAGCATTACATCCATGGTCAGACGTATCTGTTTTGGGCTGAGGGTTTAAGATGTATGGGCTGCTTTGATTTTTGGGTTTTTTTAAGACTAACAGCAACCAAAACCAGACAGTTCAAATGCTTTCATGTGTCTTTGTGTTTCAATTAAACAGAGCCAGAGCAATGTATGGTTTTCTGAAGCTGGAAAAATCAGCAATATTCTATTTTTTATGGAATATATAAATATACACAGGAAAATACAAATCTACTCAAGCTTACGTTGTTCATAAGAAAGTTGTTCATCCAACTTTCATATTTAGTCAGAAATTGCTTTCCTAGGATGACTTGAAATAAAGTAATACATTTCTCAAGTAACATCAGAAGCTGCAAAAACACATATTACCCATTTTTCTGCCTTTCTAGGTCATCTGAAATGGAGTACACTAAATTTAAACTTACAAAGATCACGACTTTCTAGCATTTAAGACAACCATGCAAACTCCTTTCTGTAAGAGCTTCTAGGATATTCAGACCACGAAGTAGATTTGTAAAGATTAGCAAAATATTTATTCTAAGTAACTTTAAATACAGTATCTTTGAAAAAAAATCTAACTTTCTTTCCATGTGTTATCAGAGACTATAGCCACAGTTTCGAATGACTTTGCCTCATTAGCCAAATGGAACAAGAAGTAAAGGTCAGGACCATCTGAAACTTTTTGTACCAGACCCTTCTTTTCCATCTCTACATTGGCATTTCTTAGGCTGATTCAAAACCTGTATCTGACCACTTTATGGACAAGGTTTTTGGCAGTGCTGTGGAGGAAGACTGGTGCTAGGCAGTGCTTTGTCCTCTTGTGCTCCAAATAAAAGTGTTTTAGATGAATGACATAAAATCTTAAGACATTTCGCAATAGATTTTTTTTAAAAGAAACACTACCTGTGCTCCTTGGCTTTCGAGTAATACGCTGCAAGAGAAAAAAAGTCACAATAATCAAAGAATAGCAAAATAATGTTATCCATCGTATTTATTACCTTTGCTATAGCCCACCACTACAAATCCATTACATTTTCTCAGGTTTCCCCTGGCCTAACCAGAAAAGCCACAAGTATCTCGTAAAACTTCCCTGATCATTCACTTTTTCCATTCCCGTTGCTGCTAAAGTCACTGCAAGAACATACCTGCACCCACAGAAGAGGCTAAGACACAGAATTTCCCTCACAGTCTTTTATGGATTTGGTTGGGAAACCTGGGCGCCAATGCTTAGGGGACTGTGCACAAGGCATTACCAGGAGTGGAAAGGGAACCCTAAATACAGCCTCTTCTTGGTCTCCGTTAATCCACTCATGCTGCCTCAGACTGAATTGCATTCCTCATCATGCCCTCACTCTGAGTGGGGATCAGAACAGCTTCTGTGTTACTGCCAAGGCACGCCATAGAGGCCATGGGTTTACCTGACACACTGACCGGTGAGACTGCAAAGATTCTTTAATTAATCTGGCATTATTTCACAGGGGAAAAAATACAGAAACCAAAGATGAAACCAGAAACCCCTGCTGAATCATAGAGCTGACTGGCTGAACAAAGATCAATTGATTCAATGCATTAACTGCACGGAATACATTCTGATGAGTTCTGAAACTACACATTCCAAACAGACTGCAATTGAAAGAAAAAATTTCTCCAGGTTTACAAGTGGTGCTAACTACTGATAAATAGTCATCTATTTTAGCCAGATGCATCAGAAACATCTTCAACTATACTACAACTCTATTGTAAAGCAAATGATGACCTCCTCAATACCTCTGAAAATATTCTATAGTATGGCAAGGTTAGAATATAATCCTGTCTATCTATCGATCCACAAAGAAATATTGCTGCATTTTGGCTGCATGGTAGAACTGTACTATTAAATACCGTAAATCCTTTCTTCCACTTTTTAACGTCTTTCCTTGACATACGTTCCCATTGTTTAGGTCCTAGAAAAAAACAAAAAGTAAAAATATTACCACTTATCATAATACCATCTATACTGAATATCACTCTAACAAACATTTACGTACAACATATTACAGAATAACAGAACATTAGCAAATCTGAACTGTCTACCACCACATTTGTTGAAATAGAAATTTAAAGGAAAACAAACCAGGAGAATATGGCAATTCAAGCTGAGAAGTCAGGCAAGACAAAAAAGAGCATCACATGCTGAGTCTAACAAGACTGAGCTAAAATCCAAAGAGCATTACAGCCCCATATTCAAGCAAGAGGACAAAAGAGGTAAAAGATTTTAGGTTCTAGATTTTAGTCAATGAATGCAGACTCCATGGGATCTGAGGTTAGTTAAAGCCATAACTAAGGCTCTACGGGACCGAGATCCATACTCCTTCCATTTTGAACAGAGATCACTAACCCAAAAGCACAACCAATCCTTTACCAATGCAAAGCTGTCTATTACTGTACTCTTGAATGCTTCCTCCCTCTCCCATTGGATAATGTGTATGAAATGCAAGCCCGCCAGTCTGTAAAAACCTTTGGTGCACAACTGGGAGTTCCCCGGTCTCTCCGGGAAGTTGTAAAAACTGAGACGGCAATTCATGAACGTGGTAGCTCTTATAGGGCTTCATTTTAGGTGAAGAGGAAGAAGGCCAGTCACGGAAGTGATTTTCTGGGAAGAGCTGCTGAAAGCTTCTCCTGGGCCTGGCAAAACTCATTGCCTGCTGGCTCCGAGAAGAGGCGGTTCCCCTGGCCGCTCCTGGGCAGCCGTGCTGCAGACAGAGGCGCCAGGGCGGCGGCGGCTTTTCCTTCGCGGCGCCCACGTGAAGAGAAGGCGCGAAATGGAGCCCGCGGGGACCCCGCCCTCACAGCGAGCAATTCTCGCGCACAGAGCACGGACGGGATCCGCCTTTCAACATTGCAGAATGTGGATCAGCCATTACAATAAAAAACTGGATAAATAATGTCATGGGTCCACACAGTTTAGGTTTATGCTGAGAGGAATAGTGGATGTGTCTTTACGAAGAAGCCTGGGTGTGTTGATAGAGAAAATTTAAAAACAGTGTCTACCTACTCCACCCTGATGTTTGGCACAGCAGTAATTTATCAGAACATTATTCAGAATACTAAGTTGAGATGAAAATACATAATCCATTCATGCATTCCTTTCCTTCCTTCAAGTCATCCAAACATTACCCATTTATACCATGAACTCTGCTAATAAGCATTGTCTTATCTAGAATGGAGCACACGAGAGACTAATAATGCACATAGGAGTAAAGTCTTGGTACTATACCAAAGTCTACATACGATTTATTGTATCTTAGTGAAAAAAAAGCATCCGTCACACTGTAATATTCTGCAGCTGCAAACACTTACATGCTTTACTCAGTCTACACATACAGTATGTAAACATTGTAGCTTTAAGGAGTTCTTACCCTCAGGTGTATCGTACGTCAAAGAGTCGATGGAAATCAGTACGTCATCCCCGAAGGGATGGCTATACTAAAGAAAAAGAACGATTAAATATTAGAACAAACTTTCAAAGTAATATCTTTAGTGTATGTTTTATATATTGTTATGAGAACAATTTTTTGTTTTACTCAAACATGAAGTTATCATTACGGTGTTTTATTGGGTAAAGCTGTAAGTCAGCAATCTGGAAATATTAACTCCTAGAGAAAACCGATGTACTTTAAGCATATGTGCAAGCCATTCAACCTAAGGCATAAGCCCTGCCAAAACAGGGCTCCACAGAGTTTTAATATGCAGTGAAGTCACTCTCTGACAGTTTCACCCAAATTTGTGTTGCAGAAACTAAAAGCAGCCCGCATGTAGACATGTAGAAATATCCGATGTGGCACTAGCCGAGAAAATCCATCCAGAGCCAGATTTTGCCCGGCGGCGGCACAAAACATCTCCCGAACGGGAAAGGGCGCATCCCGGGATAAACGGTGATGCACGGAGGAGGACCGTGCCCATACCTTAAACACAGAACGGCTCCCAAGGGAGAGGGAGTCACTGAGTTCCCCACTTTCTGTAGTTTCATTGGAAACCTCCCGTCTAACGCAAGCTAGCCGGGGTTACGGACACTGTGAAGTCAGCTCGCACTTGTGACTAAGTCGCGTATCCAGCACGGGCAGTCCCAGGTGTCCGTTTTGTGGCTTTATCCCGGGACCTGGCTCTTGCCAGCCCTCTCCTGCCAAGGCACAGGAGTGCGCGGCCCAGCACAGACGGCACGGCTGCTCTCAGTCCCCGCTTCCCCGCCCGCCTCAGGACGGCACCCGGAACCAGCGGCCACCCCGGTCTCATAGCTCACCTCTTTGAAGATGCGGGTCATCGATGCCATGAAACGGGCGCTGCTCCGCCGCAGCCCCTCCTGCATCGTGGGATCAAACTCCATAACGAAAAGGCGTTTGCACCGCCGGCCACCTTCCACTCTCTACACCGCGACCGGCCCCAACCGCCGCAATTCAAACCGCCACCCTTTCGCGGCGTCCGATTGGTTGTTGCTAAAATCAGTTCTGGCGCTGTAGCCAATAAAAATTCTCGGTGGGCGGGCTTTATAGTCTCATTGGTTACTGGCGCTGCTGAGTGCCCCATCACCCCGCCTCCAAGCCCTGGCTTTTGGCGCCAAGTCCGGCGCGACGCGGGGCGTTGTTCTGCCTCTCAATGTTGGCTGGCCGCGGGCTGCCATTGGCTGCGGCGCACGGCCCGCCTCCCGCCGGCAGGACGTGCCGCCGCAGGGCAAGGCGGCGCCTCGGGGCGGTCTCCGGCCTGGGCAGCTCCAGACAGAAATGTACGTAATGTTGTGTCTCTGTCGGATTCGGCATAGACGGACAGAGGAGTCGGGGCTCGGGAATTCAGCGTTCAGTGGCCGGCGGTCACGCCCTCCCCAGTCGCTCTCTTGGTCCCCAGAGGCTGCAGGCCTTTGGGAGAAGGCCAAAGTGTTACGTGCCTACTGGCACTTGTATTTTGGATACCTTTCTGTTCCTCCCCAATATTCTTCAAGTAACCATTGGTTTTCTATAAATAAAGATTTTTTTTTTTAAAAGTAAAATACTCTCAAGCACATTAATTTTCCTGCACCTTCCCATTAAAAAAACATTTTCCATTTTGGTAAAGACGTGCCTTTTTCATAATCCCTTACTGTTTAAAACTCATCTGTATTTACTCATTTCTTACAAAGTTGTGTTAAGTTTTATTTTTTTAAACGGTAGGACATCATAAAAATACATCTTTGATCCACATTTAAGCATTCTTACTAGTATGATTGTGAAGTTTTCACAGCTGACAAGATCTGTACTAAGGCCTTACTTACCCTGTTTCTGGCCAGTCTTACCCTTTTTCTGGTTCTTCATTAAGGTCTTATAATTTTTCAGGGTATGATTTTCTGCCAGCATTGCATTGAAATACTGCTCTCAGTGGATAAATCACATGTGTGTGTTGAGCGGGCCTGCCAGGAGAGTACTGAAGTGTTGATTTCAGCATGCAGGAAAAGATGAGTGTGGTAATTCCAAGGTGACACAACAGGTCCCACTCCTACATTTTTCACTGTGTTTCCACCAGGATGACTGCAGGACAAATCATCTTTAAAAATCCAGAATCTCACTGAGGAGCACCTAATTCTATGTTCTTTATTTTCTTGATACATACCCAGGAGTAGATTCGTAGAAGCTTTCAATACTTTGTCTTTACATTCGCTTTGATGGAAGCTGTGCTTTGAATATATCAAAGCTTATATAAACTTCCTAAGATTTAAAAATAGGGGGGAGAAATTGTAACTACCCTAAATAAATTAGAATCTCTGTATTGGAGATTGACAAAATTGATGAGCACTCAGTAGTTTGAAGCAAGTGCCTATAATCTTTCCCATTGGTAAAATATACTACTAATTTCACTCCCTTGAATAGATAAAATATAACTTCTGTGATACTTCCAACATGATAAACTATCAGGTTAGTTTGGAATGGTCGTAGAAATTTTATTAGTAGAGAAGTAAATCTATACATACTCAGGGCCAGCTTTACATGATATGCAGAGAATGAGATCTGGAGCCCCACATTTAGAGAAGGATAAAAGGAAATAACAGGTAACTAACTATTCAATACTTCCAGCTTTCAAAGTGCTAATCATATGGAAAAAAAATGCATTATGAAGTCACTTGTGGGGAAAAAGAAGCATCGCACTATCTCTGTCTTTTCACCAGCAGGTTTAGGGTTGCCATGGCCTTCATGGTGGTGTTCTGTGGTTACCTTGTAGTGCTTTGATGACTTAAAGCTGAATTGCACTGCACACAGAGGATGAGATTAATTACTTTCCTCTGACATTTCCTAGCTTAGGACTCACTGACTTCACAGCCTAAATAATAGATGTAGCCCCTGACTAATTTAATATTTGAGGTAATCATCAACCTAGAAAAACAAGGGTGTGATCCAGTTATTTCAATTTTATCCAGAAGTTACTTTTGTCTACTTTGAATTCATGGTACACTTCAGTACAGTGACAGGAGCACTCAAGCGCAAAAAATTCCTTCTATCACCCATATGAGAAAATGAGATTGACATTCAGCATCTGTGCATGGAAACTGTCCTAAGCCAGCAGCAACTGGTATATTTGATAAGGTGTAACCAAAAATTTTTAAACTGCATGACCTTAAGAACCACAAAGTCAACAAAGATAAGCTAATGCTTGGGTGAATTTATGTTGACTGCAAAGCAAGACTGTGGATCAAACTGTTGACAAGCTAAAGAAAGTGGCACAATGTTCACTGTTTACATAGTAATAAGTAAACAGTGAACACTGTGCCATTTTTTGCTAGAAAAGAGAATGTATTAATATGATACAGAAACAGACATTTCAAGAAGAAAACTTCTTTGGTGCCTTTGTAACATCAGAACCTCATCCTCTATTCTGTTCAAGCTCTACATGTTGTGCCTTTCTGTTGAGTAGATCTGTTCAGAAATATATGACAGAAGATTTAACTTCAACCATCCTTTGATTAGTTTGACTTGTAGAAGAATAATTTGTGGTTCTGAGTTGAGCGTGTCATTGTTGACCATATGGTTTACCATATGCTGTGTGTTACTGTTTTATTCATGATGTTTATTCATATTTGGAGAGGCCTGTGTCCTCCCCAGCTCATCATTTAGTCCAGCCTCAAGCTGTATTTTATCCTTTTAATCCATTTATCACTTTTTAAAAAAAATAAGTCAAAACATCTGCATTGAGTGATCATTTTTACTATTCTGCTCTGAACTCTTTCCAGTCAGTCAGTATCCTTACTACTTAAGCATCTGGAATAACAAATAATTTCCTGAAAGCAACTTCTGAAGAACTATATAAAAGGCAATTTATGCATCTATTTTCTGTAAATGTCGATCTTCAGATACAGCCAAAACATCACATTGACTATTGAAATGACAAACTCCTCTCTCTTCAGTATATTTCTTTGGGATTGCATGCTGCTCGCTCTCTTTGTACAAGAGAATAAGAAAGGATAAAGTAACTGCTCTTTTCCAGAAAACCTTGCACAGCTCAGCTTGTGTCAAGTCAGTGAATATAATTACAAATTCAGAGACTGTGAAAAAAAAACACTGAAGAGAGTGGAGGGGGGAGTAGTTGTAGGTGTGCAGGAGAGCTGTGGAGAAGGGAAGTGAGCATCCCAGGAAAACTCCACAGTACAAGAGTCAGCACAGGCCAGGTTCTGCAGCAGGCACTTTGAATCATTTCCTCCGCAAAGGAGCCTTGCCTTCCCAGCTCTCTGAGAGGTGGGAGGGAAAGCGCTATTTTATGCCTCCTCACTTACAACTCCACCCAAAATCATAAATTAGTTTCTTCACATAAGGCAGTGCCTGCATGAATGTCTGTTACACAGAGAGATGTTTCTAAACCGTATCATAATTAAACACATCCAAGCACTCCATAACTCTGCTTATATAAAGCATGAAAGAAAAGAAAAGAAAACAAAAAACAAAACAAAACAAAAAAAAAACCACAAAAAAAAAAAAAAAAAAAACAGCCACACTTGGCCATCAGGAAGGCATCAAAAGATCTTGCTTGCCAAGTCAAAAATGTCACTGAGCTTCCAAACATAGTCCTGGGATTAATAACATTATTTCTATAATTTCCCTATTTCTGAAAATTGTGTGCAGTCCTACTAGAAGCACATTTGGAGCAGGCTCTAAGGCTGTGTTTACTGGATCCCTTGTTTTCTGAAGGCTTTGTACTGCCCCCAGTGGTCAAGAGCATGTGTAATTTTGTTTGGGAGTAATTTTATTAGTTCCAGTCTAATCATTCCTCTGCCAGAATGGGACTTCACTATTTTCATTTTTTGGTTCTGATCTACTGGATCTGGCTGGGATGAAGCTAGCTCTTCATAGCAGCCCTTTGGTGCTAAGTCTTGGGTTTGTGGCTAAAGAAGGTGATGCTGGTAAGACAGCTATTGCTGAGCAGTGATTGCAAACACAAGGCTTTTGCTTTTTTCCCCACTGTGCTGCTCCTCCCCCCATACTCATACTCCAGCGAGTATGAGTAGGTTGGACCTATGCAAGAAGTCAGAAGGAGACCAAATAAGACATCTAAACCTGAATTGAGCAGAGGGATGTTCCATGTTGTACAACCTTATGCTCAGCAATAAAACCTGGGGGTAGAGGAAGAAGAAGATGAGAGGTTTTTGTTTGTATTTTTGTTTTTTTCAGGTTGGCCATTACTTGGAGACTCCTCTTATGGGAAATAATGAGTCATTGGTTTTGCATCACTTAGTTCTCATAGGACTCTTTTGCATCACTAAGTTCTCACTTAGTTCTCAAAGAGGGATGCTTTCCCCCTTCTGTCACTTACTCAGGTGTCTTTACCTTGATTTCTCTGTTTTCTTACATTTTCTCTTCCTGTTTTCTCCTCTGTCCTGGGGTGCATGTGGATGCTTGGCTTCTGCAGGATTCAACCTACAGCAGGTTATTTTTACTGTATAATCTGGTTATTTCTGAAGCCTTCTGATCACTGAAATATGTTTGACTGCCAGTTCATTTATAAAGACAGGTCCCAAGTTCAACCACTCTGTCTGTGGATAGAGGAATAAGCAATTATTAGGACAACAATCACCAAGAAATGGTCAATCCTTTTTCCATCACATGTGGGAATGCAGAAGAGAGAACAAAAGTAATCATTTAATCATTTAGGACTCAGGGTACAAAGCACAGAGATCTGATCTAATAGAATTGTATTACCATTTGTTATAAATGATCAAATCGTGAGCCAAAATTATCAAAAATTTAGCGAAGGTTTATTAATTTGTCTGCGAGACCGAAGTTCGGTCTTCGAAACCACCACAGCCAAAGA